GATGGTGTATGAGCTTGCCAAACCTTTGACACTTGTCACACTTCTTCACCAATTCCATGGTGTTTGCCTCAAGAGTGGGCCAGAAGTAACCTTGCCGCCTGGCCCTTTTTTCTAAAGCTCTGCCGCCTATGTGTGAGGCGTAGTAGCCTGAATGTAGATCCTTTAGAATCTCATGCCCCCTTTCAAGGGTAATGCATTTCAAAAGAGGCAACATAAACCCCTTTTTGAAAAGCTTTCCGTTGCGAATCTCAAAGTTGGCCGCGCTTTTTTTCATTGCGACCATTTCTGGATATGTATCTGGTAGAGTGCCGTCTAGCAGATAGGCTTGGATGCCATCCATCCAGGTTGAGCTTCGGTCAAGTACTCCAATGGGATCCTCCTTGATACTTTTTTTTTCCATTACCTCATAAAAGACTGACTGAGGCATATCATAAGAGGCTGATGATGCCAATTTTGACAGTGCATTCGCCTGATTGTTTTTCGACCGGGGCACCTAACTCAAGTAGAATTCGTCAAGTGTCCCAGCCTCTGTCCTGACCGCCTGAAGATGATAGATCATAGTCAGATGGTGGCCTCATAGTCACCATGGTATTGGCTAACGACCAAGTGTGAATCAAAGCAAGTGTCAATCTTCTTTGCCCATGCGGTCTTACACATGCGTATACCGGCTAAAAGGGCTTCATACTCGGCCTCGTTGTTTGAGGCTTGAAACTTGAACCGTAGTTCACATTCATATTTGTCCCCTTTAGAAGACTGAATGGTAGAGCTCCCGTCTACATACACTTTCCAAATTCAATCAAGATTTTCAAGTTCAATCGGCCGTGTCTACATACACTTTCCAAACCTGATCAAAATTTTTCAACCGTTGAGTACCGAAGTTCATGGTAGAGCTCTCGTGTGTGTCTACATACACTTTCCAAACCTGCACCACAGTTGTTCATGGTAGAGCTTCCGTCTACATACACTTTTCAAACCTGATAAAAAATTTTCAACCATTGAGTACCGAAGTTCTGCATTTCGGAGAACATGGCTAACGAAATAGACCGGGAGCTGGTTTCCATCTCTCTTTGCAAGGAGAACAGCACTAAGAGCATGATCTGAGACGGCTAAGTACATGAAGAGCGTCTCCTTGGGCAAAAGGCTTATAAGCCTTGGCAAGGAGTGCAAATGTTCTTTTAATTTTTGGAATGCCGCCTCAGCATCATCTCCCCATTCAAACAGGGTCTTCTTTCTGATTGCTTGGAAAAAATAGAGGCACTTGTCACCTGATCGGTTGAGGAATCTCCCCAATGCCGCCAGACAACCGGTTAACTTCTGAACTTCTCTAACAGTGCGGGGTGACTTCATGTTAATGACTGCCTGTATCCCCCTTTGATCAATCAAAATCCGAGAAACTTCCCAGACTCAACATCAAAGACACACTTCTTGAGATTGAGCATGACCTTGTGCCGCCTGAGTGTGGTGAAGGTTTCTCGGAGGTCAGCAAGGTGATCTGTCTGTAGCTTGGATTTAACTATCATATCATCAATGTATGCCTCTACATTTCTTCCAATTTGATTAATGAAGACCATATTAATCATTCGTTGGAAAGTAGCAGGCGAATATTTCAAGCCAAACGACATCACATTATAACAAAATAACCCCTGATTAGTGACGAATGTCGTCCTCTCTTGATCTTTCTTCCACAGGGGTATCTGATGAAATCCTGAATAGGCATCCATAAAGCTCATCATGGTATGTCCGGCTATAGAGTCAACCAGACTGTTGATCTTTGGAAGTGGATAACTGTCCTTCAGACAAAACTTGTTTAGATCTGTGTAGTCAACACACATGCGCCATGTACCATTCAGCTTTTTCACAAGAACAACATTCACTACCCAATCTGAGAAGTGACATTGCCGAATGAACCCGACGTCTAATAGCTTCTTAACCTCATAGCTGTCGCCTGACTTCTCTCCTCGCCGTGATTTATTTTCTTTTGCTCGATAGGCTTCTTATTTGGTTCAACGACGAGTTTGTGGACAGCAAGATTCGGGCTGATACCCAGAATCTCTTTCACTTTAAAGGCAAAAATGTCCTTGAGTTCTTCAGCAGGTTGTGCAAGTCTGCCCCTAACTTTGCAAAGGGAACCGCCCCACCTTAACAGTACGTTCCGGACGTGTGTCATCCAGATTGATGCTAATGTGTTCACCAGTTGGCTGGGGACGGAGTTCATCTAACTGTTCCCCCAGTTAGTGATTGCTATTGTTTCTTTTTCTTGACAGTCATCAGCTGGTCGACCTTTCTCTTTTTTGCGCCTACTGGTGGGGCAGACTCAGGTTCCTTGACTTCGTCAAGGTCTATTGGCTCCATGTCCCGGCCAATTTCCGTGGGCTTAACGTCTGATAGATAGCACTCTCAAGCTGTCTTCTAATCTTTATTAGGAGTCAACAGAACCGTCGTCCTTCTCAAATTTCAGCAGCATGATGGAGGGAATAATGACGGCCTTGGATTAGTTCAAAGTCGGACAGCCCAGAATAAGATTATAGGCGGTCAGCTCTTTTACGACCAAGAACCGGACGACCATGTGGCGCTCCTCTCCCTTCTTTCCAGCCGGATGGGACTGGGTGCACAACTCCACCCCCAAAACCAACTAAGGGGTGAGTGACCTTGTGCAGGCTGTCAGGCTTGTACTTCAGCTTTGACAGAGAACGCCAGCTGATGATGTTAGACAAACTCCCAGTATCAATGAGGATCTGGCCAACCCTAGCCACCTTGCATTCGATGACTATAGGGTCGTCATGCGGCCGGCGGACTTCGCCCCGGTCCTTCTCTAAGATGACGACCTCAGAAAAAGTGTCGAAAGACGTCTAACCTTCAACGATTAAGCTGACATTCATCTGTCTGACATGGTCCTTGGTGCCTCTAATAGTTGGATCACCGGAGGCAAAGCAGCCTGCAATTGTGCAGATCATGTCCGGATATGTGTCCGAACCACTATTAGCCTTTGCTGACTTTTTGGACGGCTGCTAGGGGTCCGTCTTCAAGGTCACCTTGGACTTGAGAATGTAAGATTTCAGCAATCTTTTATCAGCCAATCTATCTAGCAACCGCTTGAGGCTATAGTAGTCGTTGGCATCATGGCCAATATCCTCATGGAAGTGACAATACTTGTCCTTTTTCCGGTTTTTGGTCGGACCTTTCATCGCCGAGGGCTTCTTAAGTACCACCCGGTCTTTGATTTCCATGAGGATGGTGTAGTAGTCTTTGGTAAACTCGTACCTGGGGACGTACAGTTTAAACTCTTTCTTTTTCTTTTTAGATGGATGATCAGAGTCCTCAACTACCCAAACTTCTTTTCTCTTCTTGCTCTCTTCAGCTTTTTGAGCCGGCTGATCTTGTCGACTCCCTTTTTGTTTGTCGGACTTATTTGAGTCCGACTGCTTGCTGGTGGATCAGAGCTCAGTCGCTTGGATATAAGCTTCTGTCTCCATCAGCGCTTCTCGAAGAGTAGAGATTCTCTTCCGAACGAGGTCAAACTTAAAAGTCGATCCATCCTTTAGACCCTTGAAAAAGTTTGTATAAGCAACATCGTTAGATAACCCTTGAATCTGGATTCTCACCAGATTGACCGCCTAACATAAGAACGAAGCCCCTCCTTGTCTCCTTATTGTATCGCGCTTGTCGAGACTTGTATTCTTGGCGGGTATGTACATGGAGAAGTTAGAGGCAAACAGGAACACAATCGTGCTGAAATTATATATGCACCCAGACGACAAGTTGCCGAACCACTTTACAAACTCCTCACGAGTGATGTGAGCAGTCTGTCCTGTAGCCTGAGGCTGGCCGACTGACTTGCTCGGACCCACCTGACCACTGCCCCGCTCTTTTTTCTCTTTCTGGCGAATGCGTTTAGTGATGAAGGATCCATCTTCGGTCGTATGTACTTCGACCTCTGGATCTGACTCTGTATCATGGTCCGAATGGACCTTTATTTCTTAGCGATTGTCCTCAGGAGGCGGTACAGTCTCTTGGGAAACCATCTTAGACGTACTCTCCCCACTTACGACGCCAAATGTTTCGGGGTTTTTATTCTTTTTATTTTGTTTTGTTTTCCTTTGATGATGATGGCACGTGAATGTGATTAGATAACCACACAATTTGGGCCTTCTTTGATGCTCTACATTAGCCAAATCCACTTCATACTCCACTTTCTTTTCCTCTTGCTTTTTTACACACAACTTGATATTAAGTACCCATTATTATAGAAAAAAAAATAGCTATAAAATAAAATACTAACATAAACTAAGAACTAAAATTATTAAAGTGGATAATTTTATAAAATAACTAATAAAAAGAGATTGTAGGACTAATATTAGGGACTAAAAATATTGTATATTATGCACTTATCACTAATATAAAAAAAAATCCCACCAATACAATAAATAATGCCAGGTTTAAGTTTTTTTAAAAAAAATTTATTCTACTTAAGTTATTTTTTGTAAGTACATTGTATAGTATTTTTTTTAACTAAATTCCAGACCCAAAAAAAAAAAAAAAAAAAAAGGAAAAAGCCATCTAACATCTACATTGTACAGTATTATTGGGAATAACATGCATCATTAATATAATATAATGTACACTATTTTTAAATTTTTTCAATACAACTAATCAAAAATAATACGGAGTATTGTTTTTTTCCTCAGTTGTAGTTATAATAATTTTTGCCTTATTTCACATGAATTGCCTCATTTTTATATTATATCACAAATTAATTATGGAAAAAAAGATTTGGGTAAAAATACCCAGGCCACGTGGCTCAATTAGAAGGTGACACTTGTCACCCTTATAGAGGTCCCAAGAGGACCAATCACCAGCTGACACGTCGCATCCCCTGTCATTAGGGAAAAGGTGGCCTTCAAGGCCCAAATCCCGAGGCGTCGTAAAAGTAGAACTGCCCATTTACCTAGGTTGATAGCCTAGAAAAGGGCCACTGATTTCCAACACCCTATAAATTGGGATATTTACCCCATTTTAGGGACACGTTCATTCACTGCAGCATTTAATACTCCCTTACATTAAAGAAAAGGGGAAAAAGGTGCGTGAAAACCGAAGCTCAAAACAACATCTCTTAACTCCATGTTTATCTTCATCAAGCTCAAAATCCTTCTTCAACACATCCAAAATTCAAGGAAAGTGATGAATTCTTATCGTATTTCAAAAGTTTATCATCCCGAACCCAAAAATTCGTGGTTGTTTTTGGCTATAAAAACCCGAAAAAAATCATCTCAAAAACACACACAACCTAGCCGAAATATACCAAATACAAAGTAATTTAAGTGAGTTCGTGAATTGGCCTATTTGTGAAGAGAAGATAGTCGTTGGAGGGAAGCTTAGTCTCGAATCCAAGGAAGAACAAGAATGACGGTGAATTTGGGGTCAAAGCCGGGTTTATTCGACAGTTCTTGGGAGTATAATTCATAAGTCTTCTTCTTAACTTTATTGTTCATATTACTTCTTGTTTAAAATATTTTGATAATTTGATGAAAAACTTGATGGGATTATTGGTATTACGTTTGATTTTAATTTAAGTCATTTTTCAGTTTTGTTTAATTATTATTTGAACTTGCTTGTAATTCATTGATTAAATCACGATTATACATATTACTAGTGTGTGTATGGTTGTTAATTATTGTTACCTATATGGTTTGGCTTAGTTTAAATCATATAGTCAAGTGACACCTAACTTATATGAGATCTGCGATTATGGTTTTATTTAGATTAGAGAATAAGTTCAATCTAATTATTTTAGGCATTTATGTGATTAGAATAATTAGGACTAATGATGTCTCCTAGTTTATAATGCTTCCACCTCTAAATTATATGGGTTGCGATCATATTTGTATAAGATAGAATGGCTTAGAGTCAATTTGGCATAGTTCGTAACTAACTAAAATTAAGGGATGATAGGGAGTATTTGTTATCTTAGGCTCTACAGTTAGTCTAGTAATTATAATTGGTGGTACTCAAGGTGAATTGTATGTTATTGACAACAAACTAAATCAAGTAAGAGCTATTCAATGGAATGGTTAGTTGTGTCGTCAATAGTAGTTTAGTTCCGTATTAGTTTTATTAGTTTAGTATTATCTTAAACAAACCCCCCCCCCCAATTTTATGTACATATGTGAATAAATGTAGAGTATGTAAATTTCCGTAATATATTGTAATTTAGTTAAACGTTGATTTAAGAGTTAAAAGTCTCCTTGTGGGATCGACCCCTGCTTACCCTTTTACTAGTTGTTAATATTTTTGAAGGTTAAGTTAGGAAAATAAATATTTAGTTTTATACGGTAAACGACACATATCAAATTTTGGCGTCGTTGCCGGGGAGATTAATTTTAGTTCTTAATAAAAAGTTTAAGTAATTTGCTATTGTTATTAATGAATATGCACATATAGATGACAATGACTTATAATATTATTACTGTAAAATGTCTTTTTTGACTATGTCATAGTTCGTTCATGTTTCAGTTCACTCATGCCAATATGTCATAGTTTTACTAATTACTATATATGAACATGAGGTATGTGTGTTAGTGGCTTACCCAGTAGTATGCAATTTTGTTTTGCTAGTATAATGATTATGGTTGATCATTGCGGTTGTCATCTATTGTTGTTTGCTAGTATGATGATTGATTATGTCTCGTGAATTTAGCTTATTAACCAATGAAATATAAATGATATGCTAATGAGTCATAGTGATTATTACATGTTTACTGGCCAATTTTTATTAACTCATATAATAGTGGGTACAAAGACAAGAATATGTCATGTTTGCTTATTAGTTTTTTGCATGATATATACCTGTATCTTTGAGGTAATGGGGCTCCACCAATGAAAAATATCACCATATAGTTCCTGTTCACGTAGAAAAGTTAATTGAATGAGCATTTTATGATCTTGCCCTTATTATTGATGTTCTGTGTTTGATCAGATTATAATATTGCAAGAATTGTTCTTAAACCTCTGTTTTAGCATGTGTGGATCGGTCTAGCTGATGTATCATGCATGTATCATATGTCCTGGGAGTTTCTAGAAACATCTGACAGTGTATAAACCAGAATAAAAGATATTAGTTGATTTTGGTTTCTTGCACTTGAACTTTGAGTTATTAATCTACAGAAAAGTCCTATGAGATGCTAAAAGTTGACAGATACATTGGTGTTGGTAAACCTAGTCCTAAAATTAGGAGAGCCATCTTGCTAAATCTGTTAGATGCCAATTTGAACAGATTCTATCTTTACATGTTGTGTGATTTGAGTAGAAAAGTTTTAATTGCATACTTAGGACTACCAATTCATTACCTCATGTATAATTGCTATTGAAGTGAGGATAATCAATGCCAGAACTATATGAATTTTAAAAGTCTGATTCTGCTGATATGTAAGTTTCTGAAGTTCTGACCAGTGATTGAATCTTAGACTACTATTGTTACAATATTATAAACTCACTTAGCTTGCTGATTTCTTACCTGTTGATTACTTTGGGCATTATTTAATCACTCCGACATCTTTTCCATATGCTATGAAAGTTCTCGGTGAAAGTAAGGTTAAGTAAGTTTATCTGAGTAATATAATCTGATTTGAATTATTTTTGAGTAAAATGTGAGCATAATTTATTTTGGGAAATTTTCTCATGAACTAATTTGATGGAATTGCAAAATATATATCTTGATATACCCAGCTACTTGATGCTTAATTGTTACTGAAATTCAGTATACTTATTGCCATAAGTCCATAATTACTGAACTTAACTGCCTTATCTGAATAACTATTCTCTTAATCCAACAGCTTATAACTAGACAAAACTTATAGGGGTAATGAGATATATGGTATATGTTTGCATTATAAGTTAATTCCAACCCTAGCACTAGCTCAGTTTGAACATGAAATCAATTTTTGCTATAAAGATCCAAGTTAACAGAGTTAAGACAGACTGCTGACTTTCTGCCAGATTGCTAGTTTCTTTATATGAGGTTTAAATGCTAATGAAAATGCAGTTTATTTATTGGTAGAAGATAGTTGCATCCAAATCATCGTGTTTTGGCTACTAAAATGTCCAGTAATGGATTTTTAAAACTTTTGCTGTAATATTTCAAGTCTTTCTCATAAGTTCTGTTTTTCTTTATAGGTGTATGAACGCGTACAATCCAGAAGCAATACTTCAGCGCATTAAGGCATACGTAGGCTTCCTAAACGAGGCTGAACCAGAGAAGCTGCTTCACATTTTCAGTGCTGAACCGGAACTTGAAATAGAAGATCCATTACCGATTAAATACAAGAGCATGGCAGAACGAACATTGAAGGAACTGGGAGTCCCGAGAACATGAGAAGATCCTCTTTGCATTGTCTTTCTAGAGCTAGAGAATCCTCTAAAGCTGAATTTAGGTTTCCTTAATCTTCTCCCTAAATTCTATGGGAATGCAGGTGAGAATCCTTATAGACACTTAAAAGAATTTAAGGTTGTATGCTCTTCCATGAATCCTGAAGGCGTAGAAGAAGAACATATTAGATTGCATGCTTTTCCTTTTTCTTTGCAAGATCCTACTAAAGAATGGCTATAGAGCAACTTTCACCTAATTCTATTAATTCTTGGGCAGAAATGGAAAAAGTTTTTCTTGAAATATTCTTTCCTGCGAGTCGTTTGGTTCTATTAGAAAGGAAATTTGTGGAATTAGGCAAAATTATAACGAATCTTTATATGAGTATGGGCAACGTTTTAACAAGCTTTGTTCATCTTATCCACAACACCAAATAAGTGAGCAACTGCTAATTCAATATTTTTATGAGGGGTTGTTACCTAATGAGAGAGGTATGATAGATGCATCTAGTGAGGGGGCATTAGTAGATAAAACATTAACCGAAGCTAGGAAGTTAATGTTTAATATGGCTCAAAATACTCAACAATTTGGCACTAGAAATGATGTAAAAGAGTTAATGATGTGGACTTAAGTGGAATTAAAAATCAATTACAAGAAAATGCTCAACAAATTGCTACTCTGACCACCTTAGTGTCTAAAATTGTTCCTGGTAATGATTCTACAGCTAGAGTATGTGGTGTTTGTTCTGATTTTTCTCATACTACTGATGAATGTCCTACTCTACAGAGTGAAGATGTCAATGGTTTAAATAACTTTCCTGGTCAATATCAGAGGAAATATGACCCTTTTTTTTAATACTTATAATGAAGGTTGGCGTGATCATCCTAACCTTAGGTATGGACCTAGACCACCATTTTCTCAGTCTAATCAAACTAGGCTCTTTGTTCAACAAAATTCACAACAACAATCTGGTTCATCATTAGAGGACTTAGTGAAACAATTGACTACCCAAATTGGACAAGTTCATAGTCAAGGTATCCAATATCAAAAGAAAACTAACACTCACCTACATCACATAGATACTCAAATAGGTCAAATTAGCACTTCTCTTAGTAATTTGGAATCTCAACTTTCGAATAGGCTCCCTTCTCAAACACTTGCCAATCCAAATGAACATGCTAAAGCTGTAACACTTAGGAGCGGTAAAGAGTTAAAGGAACCTAAAATAAAGAATAGAGAAATAGAGAAAGAGGTAGAAGTCGGACCTAAGGATGTAGTTTGTGAAAGTAAGGAAAAACATGATAAAGAGAGTGAGAAAGAACCTATAGGGAAGGGAAATTTTGATGTGAACTTTGATGTTTCTCGATTTAAAGATACACCCCCTTTCCCCTCTCGATTTGCTAAAGTTAAGAAAGAAGCCCTTGACAATGAAATACTTGAAACATTTAGGAAGGTTGAAGTGATTATCCCTCTTCTTGACGCTATTAAACAAATACCTAGGTATGCTAAGTTTTTAAAAGAGCTTCGTACTAACAAAAGGAACTTCAGGCCTTGTGAAAAGGTAAGAATGGGTGAGAATATATCTGCTGTGATTCAAAAGAAACTTCCCCCTTAATGTAAGGATCCTGGCATGTTTTCTATTCCATGTAAAATTGGTAATTCTATTTTTGAAAGATGCATGCTAGACTTAGGTGCTTCAATCAATGTCATGCCTAAATCTCTATATGATACTTTGAATGTGGGTCCTTTGTCTAAAACTAATGTTGTTATCCAATTAGCTGATAGATCTAATGCATTTCCTATGGGAGTTTTGGAAGATGTACTTGTTCAACTGAATGAACTAGTTTTTCCTGCTAATTTTAAATATGCTTATTTAGGTGATAATAAGATGTTGCATGTCATTATCTCAAACTCTTTAAATGAATCTCAAGAAAAAAAAATTGCTGACTATACTTAAAGAGTACAAAGAAGCCCTAGGATGGACATTAGTAGACATAAAAGGCATTAGTCCTACCTTATGCATGCATAGAATTTATCTTTAGAAGAATACTAAACCAACTAGAGAAGCTCAACGTAGATTAAATCCTTCAATGATGGAAGTAGTTAAAAAGGAAATTCTAAAATGGTTAGATGCAGGAGTGATATATCCTATTTCCGATTCTCAATGGGTAAGTCCTATACATGTGGTACCTAAAAAGAGTGGAATAATAGTTGGCGAAAATAATAAAGGAGAATTTGTTCCCACTAGAATTTCTAATGGATGGAGAGTTTGTATTGACTATAGGAAGCTTAATCAAGCTACAAGAAAAGACCATTTCCCTCTTCCATTTATTAATCAGATGTTAGAAAAACTTGCTGGACAATCTTTCTTCTATTTTCTAGATGGTTATTCAGGTTACACATAAGTACCCATTGCCCCTGAAGATCAAGATCAAGATAAAACCACTTTTACCAGTCCTTTTGGTACTTTTGCTTTTAGAAGAATGCCTTTTGGTTTATGTAATGCTCCAGGAACTTTTTAGAGATGTATGATGAGCATATTTTCTGATTTGATTGAACAAGATATGGAAGTGTTTATGGATGACTTTACTGTTTTTGTGTTTCATTTGACAGATGTCTTCATGCTTTAACTCGTGTTCTGAAGAGATGTGTTGAAACTAACCTTGTTTTAAATTTTGAAAAGTGTCATTTCATGGTAGAACAAGGTGTGGTTCTTGGTCATATTGTAAGCGCTAAAGGTTTAGAGGTAGATAAAGCTAAAATTTGAGGTAATAAGTTCTTTTCCTTATCCTAAATGTGTTCGCGAAGTTAGATCATTTTTTAGGACATGCTGGTTTTTATAGGCGCTTTATAAAGAATTTTTCAAAAATTGCTTCACCTTTATGTGCTTTGCTTGCTAAAGATGTTTTTGACTTTAATGATGAATGTAAGAAAGCTTTTGATGATTTAAAAGCCAAGCTGACAAGGGCTCCTGTAATTAGACCTCCTGATTGGTCGTTACCTTTTGAAATAATGTGCGATTCTAGTGATAAAACCATAGGAGCTGTTTTAGGTCAAAAGAAGGATAAAGAATCTTATGTGATACATTATGCTTCTAAGTCACTTGATCCTGCCCAATGCAATTACACTGTGACTGAAAAAGAAATGTATGTTGTGATATTTGCTTTGGAAAAGTTTAGATCTTATTTGCTTGGTACTCATGTGATTGTTTATTTTGATCATGCGGCTCTTAAATACTTGATAAAGAAGAGTCACTCAACACCTAAGTTGCTTAGGTGGATGCCTCAATTACAAGAGTTTGATATAGAAATTAGGGATAAAAAAGGTGTTAAAAATCAAGTTGCTGACCAATTGAGTAGGATTGTCCCTAGAGATGATTGGCCTATGATGAGTGATTTTTTCCCTGATGAACAATTGCTTTCTTTATATCATGTTAAAACTCCTTGGTATGCCGATATGGTTAATTACTTAGAAACTAGGACGTTTCCCCCTTTTCTAACTAAGGCCTAAAGAGAAAAGATAAAGTTTGAATCTAAATACTACATATGGGATGATCCTTATTTGTGGAAATATTGTTCTGACCAAGTAATTAGAAGGTGTGTAGATAAACCTGAATATGATTCTATACTAACATTTTGCCATAGTCTCGAAAGTGGAGGGCACTTCGGTCCTTAAAGGACTGCTCATAAAGTCTTAGAATGTGATTTGTATTGGCATACTATTTATAAGGATGCTTATTTATTTTGTAAGGCTTGTGAACGCTGCCAGAAATCTGGAAATCTGTCTAAAAGGAATGAAATGCTCCAATCTGGAATTCTAATTTGTGAAATATTTGATGTGTGGGGCATTGATTTTATGGGTCCCTTTCCCTCTTCTTTTGGTAAAGTTTATATCATTCTTGCTGTTGATTATGTGTCTAAATGGGTGTTGGGTTTCGTAGCGTCCAACGCTATGCAGAAGAGAAACCCGCCCAGACTCGACCCAATAATTAAAGCAATAAAGCATGCATAAACATAATTAAACAATAATTAAGAAAAGGGATAAAGAAGTAATACCCTTAAAGCGTACTTCGCTCGTAAACTGAGCTCTTACTTCGAAGCTTAAAGCCTCTCAAGCGTGCTGACCTCCAACGGCTCGTACCCACGACCCAACCCGAACGATCTTTGCCTTGAGGGTTAGTCGAGACTTGACCAAGTATAAAACTAGAGTCTTACGAACTTAACGGTTTTCTCAATAATAAGAGATGCCTTTTTGAGTTCCACTCAAGTTGATTTCTAAATGCCCAATCATGGGGTATTTATAGGGAAATGCAACTTGCACTCCCATTCATGATCAATGTGGGATAGTTGTATTTTCTACTAATTTATTTAAATCAAAAATAAATTATAAAATAATGCAATCAACAATCAACGAGTGGCATGAGGGGAGGAGAGGTTAGGTGAGGACCATGCATAACCATGGGGGGGACCATTGCCTTGCTCCTCAAGGCATGGATCTAAGCCTTGGTCCCCACTCTCCTCAAACCGGCATCAAGCAATGATGAGCTGGCTGCCAGCCTTGCTGGCCAGCTAGCACAGCCAGCACGCATCAGCCAGCACGCTTAGCACATGCGTGCTGCTAGCGAGCCACGCATGCTGCTGGGTGCTGGGCGATGTCTGGCAAGGTGCTGGCCCCTGGCACACACACACGCACAACACAACATGCTTGCTGGCTGGTGTGTGGCGATAGGCCTAGGCACACACACACGCACACACGCAAGCGCCTAGCAATGCGATGGTGCTGTGCTATGCGAAGGCACGCACGCACGCACACCTCAGTGCTGCGATAATGGTGCTGCCATGCGAAGGCACACACGCACACCTTGGTGCTGCGATGGTGTTTCCATGCGAAGGCACGCACACCTTGGTGTTGCGATGGTGCTGCCATGCGAAGGCACGCACACACACACACCTTGGTGCTGCGATGATGCTGCCATGAAAAGGCACGCACACACGCACACCTTGGTGCTGCGATGGTGCTGCCATGCAAAGGCACGCACACACACACACCTTGGTGCTGCGATGGTGCTTCCATGTGCGCATAGCACGCAAGGTGCGCCTAGCATGCACGGTGCGTCCAGCACACATGGTGCGCCTAGCACGCATGGTGCGTCTAGGCTTGCGCCTAGCCATGAAAAATGCATGCTAGCTCGAGCTAGCCTAGCGTCCACATGACTAGGCCATTGTGATGCTACGGCTACGCTTGAACTTGTTGCTTGTTGATTTTGCGACGCTCGGTCTCGACGCCCTAGGCTCGATATCCGA